GACATGAAATAGGATTCCCTGGCCATGAGGCCAGTCCGGTCTGCATACTAAATTCTAAGCTAGCCTGGGCTATGGGAAATCCTATCAAAAAGGAAGAAAAAATGAAGAAAAAGAAAGTATCCATGTATTCACATTAAGAATTCTTAGCACCACTCTTGCATCAATTCAATTTGTGCATTGGTTAATTCAAGTGAAGTAATTTTACCTCAGTGTATGACAAACTTAAGCTGAGACACAGATATTATTGCTTGATATTGCTTAACCATGATTATAGCATTTTCAATTCAGGAGTAATCTAAATGAAGCATAATTAAAAACTTTTAATAGAAATTTTTACAAAGTTCATTGGTGATTTCAAAACACTTGCATATTCTTTATACTGACAACATGGAAATAATTCCTTCAGCTGTCATTCAAGGTTTTGCATATCAGCCTCAAAATTAGCGATTCTTGTTGTTTAGTACGAATTGCACCATCCACAGGTGAACCAATCCCAGTCTGCCTCTGGGACAGTCTATCAGGTGTCATGCCCTTTGCCTGTGGTGATTTTCTGTGAGACTTTTATTCTTCCAAGGTAATTGCTTTTGTCTTTTAGTCTTTCCAACTTAGAATAGTTTATTGTCTTGTTAACAACTCAGTAACCTGTTGATCCACCTCTCTGGTCTTGCATGCATATTTTTTTTTCTCCACTAAGATACCAATTCTTTAAGGATGAGAGTAGTATATAACAAATATCTGAAAAGGACAAAACAATATGCAAGTGCCCTAAGATATTCCCAAAACAACTCAAACAGCTAAAACCTAGTTCACTTTCTGTTAAAAAAGGATAACAGCATTTCTGAAAGTCAAGACTCAACATAGTAAATGTGGAATTGAACATGTTGAGACTGATAGTTGAAGCATTTGACCCTAAACAGAAATTGACTAAGAATTGTATAAACAAGACAACTAAATTTCAGGAAACAGGAAGCATTCATGTGTGTCTCCCCATTCCTGCCACTTTTGGGAAAATATTTATTTCTTAGTGCCTAGGATGGTTGCCTCGTTGTTCATAGTCTAAAACTGTGATGTACATTGGTTTGAGGCATCCTGACATTACTGCCTGTGGGAAGACACAGAGAGAATGAACAGACTTTGAAAGGGGGAAATACAATGAGGCTGAATCATTTCCTTGTGTTTTGTAACTACAAACAGGCATGCTGGAATCACTATGCAAATAAGAAGTATGGCAAAGAAAGGGTTTGACTTTTGAGGCTATGAGCACATTAGCATTATGAAATATCACAAGGGAATGGGTCCATCTTAAAGACTGGAAAGATGTTCCCATAGAAAGAATAATGTTTGCATTAGTAAACCTAGCACAAGAATGATATAAAAGGTTAGTATTAGCCAGGTGTTGGTGGCACATGCCTTTAATCCCAGCACTTGGGAGGCAGAGGCAGGTGGATCTTTGTGAGTTCGAGGCCAGCCTTGTCTACAGAGCAAGTTCCAGGACAGGCTCCAAAGCAATGCTGAGACACCCTGTCTCGAAAAACAAAACAAAACAAAACCCAAAAATAAAAAAGAAAATGTTAGTATTTTAAAATCAATTGAAAGCCTGTACAATATGAGGCAACAATAAGGAAAAGAAAATAGCAATACAGTTTTACCTGCAGCAATATCAAAGCATGCAAACACAGTAATAAATTAAGAGATGCATGACCTCTGTAGTGAAAGCTACAAAGCTATGCTAAAAGAAATCAAAGACCTTGACAATAGGGCTCCTCGCCATACTCAGGACTTGTGTAGCTATTTATAAGACAGCATCCCTGTCAAAATCGATGTATAGACTCTGTACTATCCATTAAAACTCAATAAATTTATAAGAAATTACCACTTCAATTCTAAAATTTCTCTAAAATATTGATATATAATAGTTATGATACATGCACTCAAAGAATAAAAAAAATGGTCATTGCTATTATTGGCTTCTGAGACACTCTAAATCTCCAGCAATTAAGGCAGTGTCATATTAGTATGTGTACAGATGAATAATCAATCGATGGATTAGGAACAGACCATTCATAAGTATTTAGTTGATGGTCCCTGAAGGCAACAATGTAATTTGAAGATCCTGTCAAATGGTGCTAGAGAAAACGGCTGTTTGAGAATGGGGAGTAATGAGCCCATAGAAGATGGGCTTGGAGCCTTGCCAGAGTCTTTGGATGTTTTCACGGCACTGGGCATCTTTTGTGCCTCTCTGCCTGACTTACTGCTGCTGCCCAAGCCTGTTCAGTGATTGCCACAGGAACTCATTCCACTTTCTAAAGCCCTATGTAGAACTAAAAGTACCTACAAGATTTGCCAGCCACCCAGGCATGTCCATAAACAGTCAAGTGATACAGTAGGAGGCAGAACTCCCTGGTATAATGATGACCTTGAGACTCTGTCAGGGCCAAGGTCATTCTAGGAATTCATCTGAAATTTTGGTTTCTTTTAATTTTGTCCTCATTTGCTTTTGTTCTTGTTTCTTCTGGGCATTGTGTGAACATTTTGTCTATAAATAATTTGCAATGGATTGTTAGCTCATTAAGTTCTACTCTTGGAAGAACTTAACTAGTACTCCAGTACAATCATCACACACACATGCCCATACACGCGCGCGTGCACACACACACACACACACACACACACAAATTACTCAATAGTCACTTTTTGTCTTTTCAATTTTTTTTTTGAGACAGGGTTTCTCTGTGCAACATCCCTGATATCCTGGAACTCACTCTGTAGACCAGGCTGGCCTTGAACTCACAGAGATATCCCTGCTTCTGAGTGCTGGAATTAAAGGCATTCACCACTTGGCAATAATCACTTTTAAAATCAGATATTTAATTATGTTTGAAGATTTCTAATAATAAATGTGTAGCTATCCTTTAACAAGCCTATCCCAGTTTCTAAATATGGGCTAATGAGTAATGGCTGTACAGATTTTGACTCTTACAGTATACTCACAGTAACTACTACTGTGTCCATATCCCTAAGCTAGAAATGACACAGATGTTCTTTCACAGGGAGCACTTGAAGGAATGGTGCTATGTTCTTCACTCAAACACTCAAAAAGCAATCAACTGATCTTGCAACAATACCCATAAATCTAATAAACATGATGTTAAGCCAAAGAAGTACCACATAAAAGAATTGTGTGATTCCTTTAATGTAAACTGAAAGGCAGAATGTTAACAAATGAACTCAACATAAAAGAGTACATGAAGTTACAGGAAGTTCAAAGCAAGCAAATTTCATGGGTATAGTAGAAATAAGAATAATGTCTAAGTGTAGGTGAGAAATTGTGTGTGTAAACTGAAAAGTTACATCAAAGTTGTTGTGGTGAGCAGAAATTGACTTATATTTTTATATGTTTGATAGTCAATAAGATAAATGTAAAAGTAAAAACATTTTCAAAAGCTTAAAGTTTCCTCGGAGCATAAACTAAAATATGTATGTAAAATCAAGAACCTTAGCATATTGAATAACAGAAAAATGAAGCTGGATAAAGATGCATCCCATAGTAGGAGATGCAAATTCAAAGTTAAAGTCGTGGTCTTCAAACACACTAAAACGTTTGAACTTGGAATTTGTCACAGTCAAGTTAACATATATTCAAAGCATCATTCCAGCTTCCTTAGAGTGGGTTTGCAAAGTACAATGTACATGATAATGAGTATCTCACCTCTATGCACAAAAATAGTCTAAAAGAAACAGATGAATATTTTCTAAACAGATCTGTAAATACGATTTATTATGTAAAACAGTTGGTGAAAACATAGCCTTCTATGTCTCTAATTACAGTTTACATTCCTAAAGATAGGAAGTTTCAGGGAGAAGGTAAATAAGGTGCAGTATGGCATTAATTTATAATTCATGATTTTGTTCCTAATTCAAAGTCTTTCTCATTTGTATGCAGAAAAATATGTGTATAAAATATATATTCTATATTTTTATGAAAATGAAGTTAATCATTACTGTATTAAACTAGTCAAGAACACAGTACATTTTCCTTAAAAGAAAGGCAGAGAAGAAAATAAGGAAAAAACTGTGTGAAGATACAGAAAAACACACAAACAGGAAAAGGAAAGAAATGACTCTATTTGTCAAATGAGTCCAAGGGAAAGTTTGAATGTAAAAACGATCAGATGAGCATTGCAGAGGCCAGTATTTGCGAACTTCGTTGTGTTAAATAGCATGGTGCCAAAATATAGAGGGGAACTATTATGACTGCAGGAATAATGTGATGGAAACATAGCTGTGATGACATTCTGTAGTGGACAGCTGGCATCTTTTCAATGGGCTAATGGCAGATAATGACTCAAGGATATTGAAAAATATAATGGAGCTGAAAGTTTTCAATATACATGTACCCTGGTAAAAACAATACTTTTGGACAGAAACTGTGAAGCCTTAACAAATTCGAATCAAGCAGCACTCACCTACGGAAACATCAATGTATGTATGTATATTATATATGTGTATAAAATATATATGTATATATGCCAATAAATATTACAAAATTAATTCTTAAGCAATGAAAGGTTTTGAAATTTGAAAACTGATCCCTACTTTGTAAAGCTGTTCAGGAAAGAAGGACATTTGTGACTTAGAGGGCTGTGTGATAGTAGTGACACTTGGAGCACCAAGTGTCAGATGGCAGGTCTGTAGAGAGAAACCTTTTCCTTGCCAGCCACTTTGGTTTTTCCCTACCAGTCACCTGGGCTCTGCCGCGTTGTAGTCCCCAAATAACACACAAGACACTGTATTAATTATGAAGCTGTTGGCCTTTCTTGTTTCTTACTGGCTAGCTCTGACTTAAGTGTTTAACCCATCTTAGTATTTCTCTTACCGGATGGACATCTTACTCTCTGGTGGGCTACATGATGACTCCCTGTGTTTCTCCTACCCAGAGTCCTCCTGGACTCTTAGTCCCACCTATCTTGCTTCCCTATTGGCCAACAGTGCTTTATTGACATATACACAGGACTTCCCCATTACAGGTCGGAATCAGGACGGACTCCTTTAGCTGGGGCTTCCATGTTCAACGGCTGTCACAGGTAAATTAAAACCCCTGAAGTCTTCATCACTACACAACACAGTAAAGGCATTTAAAAGCACCGTTTTCTAGTTATAGTATGTATACATCGAAGCTCAAGGAAGATGGAATGAATATAAGAACTTAATACATTAGAATACAAGAATTAAAAATTAGCATCAATGAAGATTAAACCACTAAAACTCCTGACAAAACTACACAAGTAGGAGAAATACAGACAAAAATCCAGTAAGGCAAAAGGAAAGCTGATGTCTGCACACACACTTGGGAAACGTTTCTGGGTGATTTTAAACATACGTCAGAAATATCACTGTGTAATAAGCTCAAAGGCTAATTCCAGTCCTGTCTAGACTGATCAGTTTGAGGGCAACTGAGGAAGTCACCACCAGTCAAAGCCACTGGATTCACAGCCCCCTAGCATTATATTCTCTACTCGCTGTCTCAAGCATGCAGAAGTGCAGGTTATTATAGAGCACCAACATGCCCAGTTTAGAACATCAATGTTCAAAAGGAGAAATGAAATCAGCTCACTTAAATACACCACAATGTGTTCCATTTAGATTATGTAATGCAGATACTAAAATAAGTTTCTGAAAATCAAATGTTCTATTTTAAAATGCAATGAGCTCTCAGTGAAAGGACTGTCTTCTAAAGGCCCTGCTATAAAAACCTTGTGAAATAGCATCAGAATGTATTAGTTTACATACGCTTACACAGATTCTCATTGTGGTTCATGCTAAGTACTCATTCAAGAAAAATCTACACTCCATGCTTGCTGGAGAGAGAGACAGACAAGAGAGAGAGAGAGAGAGAGAGAGAGAGAGAGAGAGAGAGAGAGAGAGAGAGAGAGAGAGAGAGAGAGAGAGAGAGAGGAGGGAGGGAGGGAGGAGAGAGAGAGAAAGAGAGAGAGAGGAGAGAGAGGAGAGGGAGAGAGGGAGAGAGGGAGAGAGAGATCAGCAAATAGAGTATTAGAGGAGAGAGGGGAAGAGATAAGGAGAAATTTGAGAATATACACTATATGTCTTGTCTGTATTCAAGTTAATGATGTTAAGAATCAAAGAGATCAGACTGCATGAGAGAAAATCATAGAAACCATATTAAATTTAAAAACAGGAATTGCTATACAAAGTTTTTATCAGGTCCCTGTTTTTCTGCCCCAATTCATGAAGTGAGTAAGGTTTCCCTTTCAGTGAGAGCACTCTTCCCACATGGACTGGAAACCAGCCTGGTGGTATTAGACCTCACTGTACTGGATAAAACACACCTCCACAAACCCCAGAGTGATGAACAGTTTTCTTTGGCTGAGTGACAATTACAGTTTAGCAGAACCCAGAATTCACATTTGAGATGATGGAAAATCACCACCACTCTCCTCTGGCTTTTAGCTGAGTCAAAGAAAAACACTAGACAGTCTGAGGATCTTGGTCATTATATGTGTACTCCAGAGACAAAAACCTCTTGTTAAAGATGGTCAGGAGAGGGTGAGAAAGTGGTTGGAGCACTAGACATTGGTGCAAATTGTTTCCCAAAGCAAAACACAGCTTGAAGAATTGGTACTAAGTACCATTCATCTGTAATGAAACCTCATGGCTCACAGATGTCCCCCAAGTCATGCCAGAGCACTTTAAATATGAAGGAAATGGATCAGTTTTCAGGAAATAGGCATCCATTTCGATGTGCATTCTAAGCAGAGCCTGCTCTCACAGAAGGATGACATATCATGCAGACAGAGAGGGGAAGGGTAGAAAGGAGGTCCACTACGCACAGTATTAAGTCAGATATACAATTCAGATTCTATTACACTTAAGGATAGTGCAGTCTCTTTTCGAAACTTCCCACTGTGACATTTGTCTGTCCTGGTGACAATACACCAATGTAAATGTTTGATTATGAATCTTCATCTGAACTAGTTTTCAGTGAGCATCTGGTTCCATCTGGCTGAGGGGAGGGGGTACCTGGGTATCTGCCTTCATCAGTCCCACTCTGGTACCCAGCTATAGGGGAATCAGTTAATGTTCACTCGGGTTTTCTAAGTCTAAGACACAGGTCTCAAGGAAGTTTTGGGGCTTGTTTTTTTCCACAAAGTGATTCAGGTTGATAATCATCACCAAGACCTTTGCTTTCTCCTGTCAATATTTATTTCTTAAGCGATTCTTTGGCCAACCTCCAAGAGCATCCATAAATACAAAATATGTATCTAAAATGTATCTAGAAAATATGGCTAAAACTTCTGCAGAGATTGGTAGTATAAATAAATATATCTACACTTGAACACTGAATTATATCCAAATACATAAGTCAAATAAATCCAGAAATTTATAAACCAGTTTGAAAAGTATAGTATTCTAAGAATATTCAGGAGGGATAAAGGATATCAAGGGAAAATGAATTAGGTAAAAGAGGAAATGTGCAGTAAATAAAGACTAAGTAAAAACATGCATTTGTTTGACTATACGAATTTAAATATTCATATATTTAACTTTACACACATAAAGTACCTCTCCCCATCAAACACATGTCACATGGCAACAGATAGGGACTATTACTGAAAACCACAACTGATCAAAATACAGTGAACAAGTGATTGTGTGGTGCCAAACTCCAATTGGTAAACCCTACAATACAACTCTTGTACCCAAGGCTTGGAAAAGTAATGGAAGAATGGGTAGAATGATTTCTAAGAGCCAGAGGAACAAGGACTTTTGCTGTGAGACTTAATGTCCTATAAATGTCAGAGGAGCTACACCCATGAAGTCTCATTGGCATGGCTGCCTAAATAAAACCTGAACAAGACGACACAAACAGATATGCTAAAATGGAAGGGGAAAATCTGATGGGGTCTCAACCTTAGAAAAGGACTACAGCTAACTAAGGAAAATATATCTTCCCCAAGGAAGAGCACTACAAACTGCTTATCCTATATAATCCAATATCAAGTGGCTAGCCCTGGAAACATATACATACAAGCAATATTACAAGGACTGAGTAGGATATATAATTAATTAGATTGTTTATATATATATATGTGTGTGTATGTATATATATCAACAATTAAAGAAATAGAGGCCATGATTTTAAGAGCCAGGAGAGAGAGAGAGAGAGGGGGGGGGGGGAGGGAGGGAGGGAGGGAGGGTGGGTGGGTGGGAAAGAGAGAGAGAGACAGAGACAGAGATCGAGCATGTAAAATTGGAGGATGAAAAGGGAAAGGAGAAAATACTGTAATTAAATTTAATTTTTTTAAAAGGAAACATAGGTAAAATAATGATACTAAAATACTTTTCAAGAGCCAACATTATTGGTTGGGAAAGTTCTTCTAGGAGAGAAGGAAGATTCCAGGAAATGTAGCAGGAAGTCACTATGTGATCCTGGGAGGAGATGACACATGAATCTGGCATTCTTGTTAAGATAAGATCTTGTAGAAAGTGCTATCAAATGGCACCACCTCTCGAGATCTATAGAAATATCTACACATTGTTCTTTCTTACAATTAGAATGAAATATTGAATGTAATATCTTTATTTCTTTTAGCATTTTTTATATCCTAAGGAAGACTATGTGTGGCTATCACCACAGAAATTTCTCACAATAGTAAGTGTTAACTTGTGTATCCAACAGGCCAAATGGTATGAACATACTTAAATATAAATATTTTTCCATTAAAATTTAAAAACAGGTAAGATCTTGTAGAAATACATATATTAGTATTTATGGGTTAATACTTAAGACAGAGCTAGCTAATAAGAAGCCCCAGACATTGACCAACAGCCTTGCAACTAATAGAGTCTCTGTGTGTTATTATGGGTTGATGCGGCACTGGAACCAGGCTGTCAGGATGAGTCATTGTAACAAAGAATAAATGATATATACATATCATGGGAACCAAAAAAATATCCCAAGAATATGAAATAATAAAATCTATGAACCCCCCATTTCCTTCAGTTTCTGCCTTGGACTGATTTAGTTCTCTTCACCTCCTTGTAAGCCTCCAGTTCTTCCTCCCAACACATCTCCAATGCCTCCACTACTGTTTCTAACACATTGCTGTGTTCTTCTAACTACTTTGCAATGAGCAAGGTGGTGGTCAGTAGCCCAGTGATCAACTATTGAGTGTCTTATTTAGGGGACTATGATTAAATAAAACCAAAGTTATATTTCAGGAAAACAATGTCTTCTATTTTTGTCAGATAGAATAGAAATTTATTTGTGTGGAGGAAGAGATACTTCCTATAGAGCTTAGCATATCCTTTGACAGGCCTCTAGTTTCCCACCCATGTTGCAATCAATGCAAATGGTATACTATAGACTTCTGTTCTACTTCTCTTCTTCTGTCAACACTATACTACAAACACCCTCAGTTTATACTTGTCATTTGTATCCTACCCTGGAACTATAGATGATATTGTCCTCATGTCCTGAAAAGGATCCTCTAATGCAGTTTAATTGTCATGCCACCATTATTTTTAAAGACATATAAAGATAACTTATGCACTGGTGGAATGGAAAAAAAATAAGAAAAAGGAATTTTCTCCACTAATGTATGTCACACTGCTGACTATTAAAAGAACATTTGGTAAGATAACGGTGAACAGACCTGTTAAATCAACACATGGAACATAGGATAATTATGAAATCATGGCTTCCTCTTCCTCATAAAATGTGCATTAATATGCTAATTAAACTTTAGGCACAATGATCCAGCTGTCTGTCTTTGCAATGCTCATCTCCATCATCAGCACTGATTAGCTCTTAGGATGTTGGGGCATTATGCAAAGATCTCACAACTTGACACAATTGTGCAATATACTTAGATATAGGGGAAGTAATCAGCTGTGAGTTCTGATTATCATTCCCATCCAAGGCCTCTGTTTACAGTAAGATTAGCATGGTGGTTGGGAGAAGACATGGTGGTAGTGATCAGGGCACCACAAGGATCTGGCATCTTAACACCGTTATTCTGAAAGAGTGTTACATACATATATCAGAGTGATGGTCACACGAGACTGCTCAAAGTTATTATTGCTGTTGTCAAGGCTATTATTACTATCATTATGCAATACTATACAAGCTTGTGAAGGAACAGCCTTCTCATTTCACACTGACAAGCAAGCAATTGTGTATATCATCTTGAAGACGCATGAATGGAGGTTAAAGTATTTTCTCCATCCCCAATTTCTAAATTCTTAAAAAACAGAACTATTACACTTAGGAATCCTTAAGGACAATAGCTTTCCCAAGGAATCAAATGTGGATTGCCACACCAGGACAGCTTCAGAACTGTTTCTGCAACAAAGAATTCAGATCAGTCAACAAATGCTTTGATCTGAGAGCAAGATTTCCACAGCAAAATGCCTAGAACTTTCTGGCATCTTCTGTGAGTACTTAGAACAAACAAAGAAGGTACCTCTACATTTATTTACTTAAATTTCCTAAGGCTGCTCATTCTTCCAAATGTATATTAATACAGACTGTGCTAATGTCCATCTGAATGTGGGAAGTATGTATCCTGTCATGGAAAAGTTATGCAGACAGTTAAAACACTTTGTTATTAAAATAAACAATACATTTTAAAGAAAGAACAGTGTTCAGCTTAACTAGAACTCAATTTTTCCAAAATTAAGCGAGTTAATAATATAAACCCCAAACCTCTGGCTTCCTCAGACACATTAAGTTTCTTGTCAGCTCAGCACTTTTAAATGGAGAATTTTGTTCCAACTCCTAGCCTAACAGTCACCTACAGTAAGTAGTACTTAAGTAGGCAGATTAGTGATGGAACTAGAGGTAGCAGTCCTACCCTGTGTCTGGCCCAAAATATGTTACCCCAAATGTAAACTCTCAGTATATTTAAATTACCCTCAAAGAGATGATAAGAACTAATAAAGAATAGCATTATAATGGTGTGTATTACCAGTGGGTCATCTTAGTATTGCATTACCTTCAGAATCACTCTGCAGATGAAAAAACACATGTGAGAATTCACTGAATTACAATAATTAATAAGGATTAAATAATTAATAAATGCAAATATCAGTTGCTAGCTCATTTCAAAGATACTTTCAGTTGCAACAGCAAGATTTCCCTAATTGTTCCAAACTTCATTATCAGGAGAATTTAATTTGATGCATCCAAGTTCTTTCTTTGAAATATTTGGAACTCATTCTTTTTTTTATTGCCCTATCTCTAAGCAGATATATAAGCTTAAAACTATAAGATTTACCATATGGAAATACCATTTCAATTATGCTATTTAATGTTTTCTATGTTGCTGTTATGTTTTCCTTTTTATAAGAAAAGAAAAATAAAGCAAATGGTTTTCCTAATTCTTTTTCCAGCTCTGGAAGAAGCAGTGTTATGGGAAAAGAACATCTCATCTTTAGGAAAACAGCAAAAGGCAAATATAGTGTCACAAGCAGAAAGAAGCAGCATTGCACAGTGGGCTGGAACTCTTAGGAGGAAATTGATACTTCCAGGATGAAAATGGAACAGAACCAAGACATTATAATGAGAGTCATTTGGTGCTAGAGAAGTCCCCTTAAAAATGGTGCATAGTCAACTTGCAACGTGATCATTACAGGCTATTTTCCTTGTTCACATTCTCAACATAAATGCTTTGGAAGAGGCAACGGTATTTTAAATTGCTCATTCTAATTTGTTTTTTTTTTTCTCTTTCTTTTTCTTCCAGTTATGGGTGGGTTCTTGGGAAATAATCTTTTCCCTTGTCACTAGAGGAACGCCTTAAACTCACATTGTAAATTTGTATAGAACAACAGAGAAGGGAAACAGTAGAAGATTCAGGCATCAACAAAGGAAATTACCTGTGGGCATTTGCTCCATGTTCCCCATTCAGACATGACACACTCGCTGGGACACAGAAGGGAACAGGCTTGGGTTTCTGTGGGAGCATCATCCTGGTTGCACAGGCTCCTGTCCACTGTCCCTCCTTCACTGTCAGCAGTACTCACACACCTGTTAGACAGTGGTGGAGACAAAGACAGACACATTTAAATGGCTATCAGATAGAGGAAAACAAACCAACAGCTTGATCTTCTTCATTCAGTGGTCTTTTATTGAGTGATAACCCTTGATACTGCAAGTAAAAGATTTTAGAAATGCCACAGATAGTAGCTGTCTGGTCCAGCACCCTTTCTCCAGAGACACTGAGTATACATATGCCTAGCACTGAGTGCATATTCCTTCAATTTTTACAGATCTTGAAAGTTCCCTTCTCCAAATACTGAATAGATGACTTTGTTTCAGCCAGGGCATTCATACTTTCTGTGTCTCTTGTATTCCTTTTTCAAAGTTCCCAAACCATCTTCATATTTACTCTATATATTGTAGGGGATTTGTAAACAATGCAAAAATCAGTTATTAGTAAAGGCATTCGAGTTTTACATGTCTATGTGGGATGTGGACATCACAATCAAAGGGTAATGTGTAAACATTGTTATGGCCCACACAAGCACAAGGATATACATTACACCTTTATGGCCAATGGAGCATCAACTTCAACTCTGAGATAAAACACACACAATGATATCTGTCATCATGTTCTGGGCCCACCCCAGACTGCTTAGAACTGTTGTTGCACCACAAGGTCTTTACCTTAATTGTGCCTGACAACCCTCTTTTTAAAAAAAAACACATATCAGATTCTAGGAATTAGAATGAAGACATCTTTGGGGGCTTTCCTTCTCTCTGCCACACTAGAATCTTTCCACTGTGCTCCCAGAATACTGGCTACTAGAATTATCTATGTAATTCACGATTGAAGGAAAAACATTTCTAGGATCCTGAGCAGTCCACAAGTGAAGACTTAAGAAAATTGAAATTGAAGGTGCTCCCAGACAAAATGCAGTAATCCATTATCTATTCCATGCCATCCATTTTCTAGCCCATCTCCCCTTCAGCAAACACTCACTTCACTCAAATGCTGCAAACTGCTTTTAGGCATTGGCAGTGTTTACTCCCAACACTTCCTGCCTTTTCTCCCCTCCACTATTCCGTATTGAACCACTTTAGTCATGCTTCCATTGCCATTGTAGACAGCCTCTTATCAGAATCATTCAGACTCTGACCACCAAGTTCAGTGGTCAGTGCTTGACTCAAAGAACTCAGTTGCACTGAGACAATTGATTACTGTATCTTTCTTAAAAACTAAAACAAAGCAAAACAATACACTTCTTTCTTGCCTTTATTCCTTTTGTTTTTCTTGTTTCTCTGGATTGTTCTTGGTCTCAATGTTAGAAACATTATCTTTGAGTCTTTCTTACTTATAAATGTTAGAGTGTTAGAGTTACCTAGGGTTCAAAACATTATCAACATATACCAAATTTATAAGCTAATGACAGTGAAGTTTATAACCTTTTTCTTTCCTCTGAATACCAGCCTACAATAGATCAGTTGGAAAGCTAATATCATATCTCAGATTTAACGTGTTTGAAAGCTAACTTGTTTTCCTGTCAAGCCAGATTTTCACATTTCCCAACTCAACAAATGGTACTACCATCCCTCCTGTTGATCAGGCCAGTTAACAGTCTTTATATTTTCTTCTTTCCCATTCTATAGCCATTTGACCATCATATACCATGCTCTGTAGCTTTTAAATTTGTCCTAAATTTGACATTCTCATCATCTTTAATTCATTAAACGCAATTCAACTGACAGCCTCTCTCACTTGGAATTCTGCAATGGCCTCAAACCTATGTCTTTGCTTCCAAATTTCTGTATCTTCAGAACCTTCTCTTTACCACCCCTAGGCAGGTTTTTTGCACAAGTATAAAATGGGACCTCCCCTCTACCCCAAACCTTTCATAGTTTCTTGGCTTCATACTGCAGTTATAATAATGTCCATCCTGCCTTTACCTTCCTTAAGTACACAACATGGTTTTCATGCCAGCACTAGCCATGTGGGACATATGGTTATTCTCCCATCAAGACAAGAAACATCTGTCACATGGTGCTTTCCCAGGAGAATCCAGACAGGTTTCTCATTTTATTCAGGTTTCTGCCTAAATTTCACTTTGCTGACAAACCTCTCTAAAACAGAACCCCTACAACTCCAAACCATTTCTAATTAAGTTTTTGGTAGTATTAGTTTTCCTTGAGGAAATAGATATTCCTTGTTCTCTATCTTATTTTCTATACCTGGAACCATGTCTGGGACATAGAAAGCAAAAGATCATAAATATGGCTTGGACTGAGAGTTACCACAGTTGTGAACCAATAGTAAAGCAGTATTCTAGCACTGAGGTTGTAAGAAAGGGAAGAGATAATCTGTTTCTTTCATTTTTAACTGGGTCATGTTAAAATCAATAATAGTTTGCAGTTCATGGTGCCTGGAAGATTTGGTTCACATGTTCGCATATGACATTAACAGTGAGCATGTGCTGGTCAGCTACGGCCACCATAGCAACAGATAAAACATCATGAGAAGGTAGCACAGTCCATACAGATGTATTTTCTCCTCATTCTAAATTTCTAGACATCTGAGAGCAAATTGTTGGCAGGCTGATTTCTCTCCCTGTGTCTATGATTTTTCCTCTGAATGTATTTGTGTCCTTATCTCCCCATCCATGCCTTATTTTGCATTATAGAGAGGATCTTATGTAGTTCAGGTTGGCCACAAAATTCTGTTCCTTGTGCATCTGCCTACCAAATACACCACCATGCTTAGCCTCCCAATCTCCTGTTCTCATGCAGACACCATTCAGATTGGACCAGAGCAGATATACTGCCTGGATTTTCCTCTAACCACCTGATCTCATTTATCTCCACTGTGCCCATATATATATGAGCTGAGAGGTATGTCTTCAAGGAGCTTAGGGGCCTATGTTTTCCTCCATTAGTGTGAAACAGTTCTGTCAGCAGCAACTGATTCTTTTAAAGCTTTCTACCTTCCTTGAGATTTCCTTTGGAAATTGCAAAGAGGCCTAAACAGGAAGGAAGTGCAAGATGATGCCTCAGCTTATGCTATAAACATGGTTGGCCAGTCACTTTTCACAATCATCGTGACAGTATGATACAAGGCAGAGGCTTTGACAAAGAAGTGACCCAAAGTCTGTTAGAACCTGAGCCAAAGAGACTGTGAGGCAAAGCAGCCGTGGACACAAGGAAAGGGAAGTGAGTTCTACTGAGAAACACCTTTACAATTCTGCCATCTGCTGTTGCTTTGCCACACCCTTCTGAGATCTTGGAACTGCTAAAGTGGCCATTATGGGGTGAATTATTGAATGCTGAAGCTTCCTCAAGGTCACAGTCAACACAAGGTAGTAGGATATTCCTTGGCAATGGGCTTCTAGTTAACGTTTACCTCCACAGACAACTATCTGACTTCAGTGTTATCCTTTTATAGTGGAATTTTCTAATACGAAAAATTAATGCCCTGTGCTATTCAGGGGAGTAATCCATGACACTAATCTTTCTTCTTATTTTACATACTGCTAACTGTGTATCAATACTTCAGCTTTTACTTGTCCAAATGGTAACATTTTATTGCTATTTTGCTTTGTTGTAACGGCAGTTGTTCTCCTGTTACAAGTTATTTCTAAATGCACCAACCTGGCAAACTCAGCCATAGGATGTTTTTGTTTCCAGTGCTTAATGTGTAGAACAAAATCCTTTTACAAGCTTCCCCAGAGAGACCCAGAATTTACAATTATTTTATAGATGTGCTTTTTATGTTAAGATGCACAAATATTATATATAGATCTCATTAAATTTTAGTATTTGGGGCTAATTATGGATGGTTTAAGTTAACCTTTTCAGTGTGATGCAAAAGTATCCCCAAATAGATTAAAAGCTATCAATGCTAAAATGAGAAATGGCAAAGCAGTGAGAACCTCTTGATATGCTAGCAGTGGTGGCTGGGAGTCAACGGAAGGACACTAATCTGTCCTTTGCAGTGGACTGTCCCCATTATAATTAGGAAATAGTAAAGACCATGAATGGTAGACTGCAGAGGCATTCTCACTACTTACAGCATAGGAGGGATATTCTTGCTTCCATGTATTCTAAAGTTAAGCACAGCCAGAAGACATGGAATGGATATCATCAGGTTTCTGGATAGCAACACCCATGTTTTTTTTAATTTTTAAATTTAATTTAAACTATAAACAAGTTTGTTTCACATGTCAAACTCAGCTCCCTCTCCCTCCCCTCCTCTCCCACCCCACTTCAACCCTCCCCAACCCCTCCTCTAATCTCCACTCCACTCTCCAAGGAGGGTAAGGCCCTTCATGGGGGAATCTTGAAAGTCTGTCATATGATCTGAGCCAGGGCCTAGGCCCTCCCCCATGTGCCCACGCAGAGACCGCATCCCTCCATGTGGAATGGGCTGCCAAAGTCCATCTGGATGACAGGGCTAAATGCTGGCATATTGCCTGAGGCCCCAAGGATGCTGAGGCCTCTCCTCACTGACACCCATGTTCAGGGGGTCTGGATCAGTCCCTTGCTGGCCTCTCAGCTATCACTCTGGTGTCTATGAGCTCCCCCTTGTTCAGGTCAGTTGTTTCTGTGGGTTTCTCCTGCCAAGTCACAACCCCTTTGCTCATCACTCCTCCTTCTTTGGAACTGGATTCCAGGAGTTCAGTTCAGTGTTTAGCTGTGGGTGTCTGCCTCTGCTTCCTTCAGCC